CAGAATTATGGTAGACATTGTAGAGGCCACCCATCCCAAGTCTTACAGGACTGTTCCTGTTTCAATACTGAGAGTTCCTTGAACTCTCATTTCCTTTGAAAAACCCTACTTGCCAGAGACGGGAATAAAAGTTGTGAAAGAACTACAAGATCCAGTTGAGACAGAGCTCAATACAACACTGTTTTGGAGTTGACTGATACTGAATAAGTCATTCTCTTTCTGTGACTACCTGACTTCTGATGGTGGGAACCACAGGTGGCCTTTTAAAGATGTCATTGCTTACCCTTGTTCAGTATCTGGTCTGAAATTCACATAGGAAAAAACTTGGCCTCTGGATTTGGGGATCTGAGTGTGTTTTCTCTTTTGACCTGTGTTAGTCCTGTGGCCAAGGGAATTTATCTACCTGTTCTGAGATTCAGTTTCCCTAAGCAGTGAGGATACTAAGAGCACCCCAGAGTTTTGCAACAAGCATCTAATGAGACAGTATGTGTAATGTTGTAAGTGACCACACATAGTTACTGGTACAGCAGCTGATGGGTGTGGTTGGGGGGTAACACTGCCCTATGCGATGTTCAGATCTCTTACATTCTCCTATGCACAGAGATGATGGAAACTTGTCTTGCATGAGGCAGAGAGTCTTTGGTTGAATGCTTTGGATCCCGCCCTCAGATAGGTCTGAACTAAGTTATCTGGGCAGGGAAAGTGGGAAAGGAGACTATCCAGCACCCTCCAAACATGTGTTTAGAAGCATGGTGGAATTAGCCATCCTTTCCCCTATTGGCGATAATGTGTGTACCCAAATATTTATGGAACTGGCTCCTTATTTGTGATTACATGACATAGATAGACGTCAATAGGTCTGTGGGACTGAAACAGCTTGGAGAACACAAGTGCTTCCTAGCTCATTTGTTCCACTCCATTCCCTTCCTCTCCCCTTGGTGAGTCTTCCCATGGCTCTCCTGCTGGGTGGGGCCAATCAGGTCTTTCATAGCCATTTGTGTAAGTCTGAATGAAATTTTCTCTTTTGACTATTATTAATGTGAGGAGAGATCTTTGGGGGCAGTTTAGTCTCTGCAAATTCTTTAAAGATATTTTAAATTTGTTTTTTGACAGTTCTATATATGCATAAATGTTTATTGAACATATCCAGCCAGAATCCTCCTCTTACCCCCTGTGGAGCACCCCACTAAATAATTTCCCCTCCCACTTTCTTTTCCTCTTCTTTTTCTACTCTTTTTCTGGGTGTAGGGCACATCCAGTTAGTACTGACTACATATGAATGAGTGTTGGGCCACTCACCCACGCGTGGATAACCTACCAGCAGCCACACTCCAGAATAAAAATTACTTCCTCTCCTATAATAGCTGTCAATTACCAATAATCCCTTAGCTAGGGCTGGGACCTCATGAATCGTCTCCTTTCCATGCTACAGTATTGACTGACTTGATCTTTTTTTCCAGGTTTTTATTATTATTATTATTAAAAATTTTTCACCTCCCCCTCCTCCCATTTCCCTCCCCCTCCCCGACTGACTTGATCTTGTGTGATTAACCATAGCTGCTGTGAGTTCGTGAGTGGCATGGCCCTGTCATGTCCAGAAGATAGCTTTTTTAGTATTCTTCCCTATATTTTGACTATTATGTTCTTTGTGCCCCTTTCCCCTATGCCTTGTGGGGTGGGGCAGCTGGGTGAGTTGATATAAATGTCCCATTTAGAACTAGTGCTCAGCAGTCATTTATTCAATGCACTTTTACTATTTGTGAGTCTCTGAGGCATTGACTGCTGCCCACTGCAAAAGAAGCTTTCTAACCAAAATTGATAGCAGCACTAATCTGTGGCTATAAACAAATGGTTAGAAGGCAGTTTGACAATACAGCCATTTAGCAAAACAACAATAGTAAGTTTCCCTCTAGGGTCAATTACCTTTACACTCATGGGATTTTGATTAAATTTATATGACCAGACATGAATTACTTCCTGTGGAATAAGCCACAATCCAAGCAGAAAACAGTTATCCCGTAACAGCCATACCACTATTATACCAGTAGACACATGTTGCTGAGCAGGTTGGTCATACAGCTTGTAGGGTCCACCATGGGTAAGTCCACTGATGACTTTTCTCACTTGGCGGCTTTCATGGCACCTTCTGGCTCTATAAAGCTAACCACCAGACAGGAAGTTTCCAGGTAAGTTCCAGCTAGTTTCATATATGTTCTCCAACCAAAGAATGTAAGATCTTCAGCAACAGAATCATCCATCTACTATGGAAGACAACAAAAGGCAGTGTCAGTAGCTTGTGTTGTCTCAGGGGATCTCTCGAGCCTCCATGATAAATATTCTTAGAGGCATCCCACACTTGGCACTGAGATTTTCATTTGATAACCAGTATTCTGGGAGAAGCATTATTCATCCATGCAGGGATGTTCTAACTCTGTTTTGTTTTGTTTGTTTGTTTTGGTTTTTTGAGTCAGAGTTTCTCTGTGCACCTTCAGTTGTCTGCAACCCACTTTGTACACCAGGTTGGCCTTGAGCTCACAGAGATTCGCCTCTGCCTCCAAGTGCTGGGATTAAAGACGTGCACCACCACACTCACACTAAACTCCTTTTTTTAAAAAACTGTTTTTAATTAGCTTATGAAAACAGTGGGATTCCATAGGCATTTTCATACATATCCTTTTCATGTGTTTATTTCCTGTTGTCTTTATGGCTCTTTGGGATGTACAAATATTTTGATCAGTTTTTTAAAAGTAGGTTCTCCCTCATTATTGACCAAACAGTTGAGTTTTGAAAATTCTATGTATCTATGTAAACTTTATCCAGGATTTTTTAGATATATTTTTGTTTACTATTATTTTCCCATCTATGTTTTGTAGTTGGAATTTTCTTTGGACCACCAACCAGCTCCCAGATAAAGACATGGAGACTTATTATTAACTATGAATGCTCCACCTTAGCTTAGGCTTGTCCCACTGGCTGTTTAAACTTAATTTAACCTATTTCTATTCATCTGTGTTTTGCCTTTGGGACTTCTTTCACTCTGTATGTCCTGCTTTCCTGCTTCCTCTGTGTCTGTCTGTCTGGCCCCAGTGTCTTATTGTCATCTCCCTCCCACATCCCCAGCCTAAATCCCTACTCCTACTTACGCTTCCTGCCTATACTTCCTTCTTCACTATTGACCATTCAGCTTTTTAGACCAATCAAGTGCCTTAGGCAGGCAAGATAAAACAACAACACATTTTTACATAATTAAACAAATGCAACACATTTTTATATAGTTAAACAAATATTCTGCAACAGTGTTTATCTTTTTATTTTCCCTCTTCAGTCATTAGGTCTTCTTTTAATCTCTCTATTCTGTTTCATTTATATATTTGTTTCTTTTGATGACAGCATTCACTGTCTTGGTCACTATAGTCTTTTCCAACTTTGATATACTTTTTCAAACTACTGTCCGGTCTTAGTTACTTTTCTATTGCTGTGATAGTTCACCATCACCAAAGCAACTTAGAAAATGCTTAATTTGGCTTGTGATTTCAGATAGAGCCCATCATAGAGCAAAGGAATAGCTGAGAACTCACATATCGAGAGAGAGAGAGAGAGAGAGAGAGAGAGAGAGAGAGAGAGAGAGAACTCAGTGGAAATTACATGAGCCTTTTGAAACCCCCCAAACTAGCCCCAAACCTCCTCCAACAAGGCCACACCTACTAATCCTTCCCAAATAGTCACCAGCTGGTACCAGGTATTTAAACCTATGAGCTATGGGACCATCTCACTCAAACCATCACTGCCTAGAATACTGAGAACCAAAGAGCACCTGTCTTATTCCTGATTTTATGGGGGAAAGAGTTTTAGATGATGATGGTTGTTTTGTTTTGTTTTCTTTGAGACAGGGTCTCACTAAGTAGCCATGACTGGTCTGTAACTCTCTATGTGGATCAGGATGTCCTTGACAGAATAGAAATCTGCCTGCCTCTAGCTCCAGAATGCTGGGATTAAAGACATGTACCCCCTGGCCAGCTTGCTGCTGCTGCTGCTGCTGCTGCTGCTGCTGCTGCTGCTGCTGCTG